TCCCCTTTTACCCAAGAAAAATGCAGATTTTTAATTTTAACAGAGAAATGTGGATTTTGCACTTTGCGAAGAGCTCTCTGCAGCCTGGTAGAGTTCTACCTTTGAAGGGATTGGCAAGAGTGAGAGGAAGGTAGTCAGGCAGGGGGCTCCATGTGCATGTATAGGCAGGTGGCTGGCAGATAGCCTGGAGAGCAGCTCTCACAGGTAAGTTTGGTGGGAGGAGGGGGAATTGGTGCCAATGAAGAGCACTAGTGAAAGCAGGATGATAAAATTAGAGTGCTTGGGTAGAAGGCAGTGAGGGGCGGGAGGAGAGTGTGACAGATGCCTCAAAAATCATGCACAAAATAGAGGCCAGGCAGCCCCCCTGCCTGCCCCTGGCCCCGACACAAGTGCAGGAGAAAACGTGCCTAGAAGACAGCCCTTTCAGACGGAGACCGAGGTTTAAACCTCGCACACCAACTCACTTGTGCAGCCCAGCCCCTTGCCGAGCCTCAGGGCTGAGTGAGAGGCCAAGGAAGGATCATTCTGGAGAGAAACCGGTGCCAGGATCTGAACACTTCGAGCCTCAGGGGAGCTCAAATCTAGAACCAGACCTCACGGCCGGCTCCTATGTCAGTAATGAGCCCCACCTTAAGGCAGTTCAGATCTATACACTTTGCACCTGTGGCCTATCAGCCTGTTGGATTGAATCTTCTAGCTCTGTCGAGGGTACTCCTGAAGTCCTAGACACTCGAATGGAAATAACCCCTGTCGATGCACTAGCTAAGATAAATGCAGCCCTCCTGGAACGGGTGTAAGCTAATCCCCAGCTGAGGTCAGGCATGAGCCTCACTGCAGGGACTAATATTTCACGGAGCTGGACCAGGAGGGTTTCGCACCTTTCTTTGCAGTGTCTGGCAGTGGCCACAATCAGATCCAGGCTCTGGGGCTGTCAGGTGCGTTGGCTTCGTGTAGGTGAGAAACATTCCTCCGCTTCACAACTGGAACAAAAGCAAAAGCGTGATTCCACGGGTGACATTTAGCTGGAAACATGGCCTTGGCATGGGCCCCGAGGGGAGTGACGCCCCACCCTGGCTGAGCTGTAGCCAGCAGCATCATCATTCAGCTGTTGCTGTCACTGATCTGTGATGATCGACCAGTTTTCCCCATCTGCTCTGATCCGACATGTTACTTAAGGAGTCGGTCATGCTGCATCTCTGCATCCTGACCCCGCTGGAGTGCCCAGGGTTGGGCCAGACCTAAGGGCCTGTTTCTAAGCTCCCCCTCTCCAAGGGATCTGTTGTTCCCCAGGCTGCAGCCAAGCAGCTCTGCAGAGCACCTGTGCTCAGACAGATGCCTTGGAACAAAGGTTTGGCTCTCCTCCACATCCCTGGGATTGCAACCTAACTCAAGTGGAAGACCACGAACGTGACTGTCACCCCCTTCCCCACAGAGCTGACCTCTGGTGCAACCCCAGCCAGTTTGTCCAGGAGCCCAAACGGGTCTGTAGGTCTCTGCTGTGAAGCAGGATGCATCTTAGGTGGCACGAGGATGTAGAACAACCCCGGGGAGGTTTAATGCAAAGAGGATGCTAATACACTGCACGTGTGGCGGGTAAAACTGACCCCACCAGGCTCGGCGCCACGGTGAGTCTCAAAGCAAGCTGTAGAGATCAGACAGGGAGATCAGGGACGTTTCCATCCGCCCGAGTTTCCTTCCTCGGTGCTGCCCGCTGGAGCACCCTGTTGGCTCCCCTGAGCACCGAGGGCAACAGCGTAGAGCTTGGCATCTCCGCAGTAGGTCTCATCGAAGTGAACCCGCAGACGAGTGAAGTGGGCAGCTAAGTGGCCCATAGGGGATGGAAGTGCTTCCAGGTGCAGGCTCCGGCGCTCGAGCCGTGGGAGAATCCCCGGTAAGCCATCAGCCTTCAGTAGTAGCAAGGCTCAAACCCTCGCCAACTGGCAGCCCTGGGGGGACCTCAGAATTGACTACACTTGGGTGGGTCTCCTGCTGGCTGGCAGAGGGCTGCTGGGCACACGTTCTTGACACTGAACTACCCAGCCGCCCTCCGTCTCTGACAAGATCAGGGTCAAGCGGCCATCCCAGAGCCTTGCGCTGCACAGCTACCAGTCCCCAGGTGAGCTCGGGTATCTCTGCCCCGCAGCATAGACATCCCCTGAGCACAGCTGGACACGTGACGTTGAGGCGCACCTGCCCCACGCTGGATTCCTGAGACCCTTCCGTGGGGGGCATACCGCTGCACCGGGGAGCAGATGTGGCCCGCGGCCCCTGCTCATGTTTTGTGTCCTTCAGCCATGTGGTGAACGTCTTTGCTGTCACCCCAGTGACTGAACAAGAAGCTCCCAGTGCAAGCATGCAGGGTGCAAACAGGGCTCCCTGCCACGGCCCAGGCACAGGGGGACCTGTAACATGCTCAGGCTACATTGAATGGCTCCAGGCTGGCCTGTTTTCCTCATTAGCTGCCCTGCTCGTGCACCCGGGAGTCCCATCCTCATTCCTTCGTCTTTCAGGAGCTAGGGGAGGAGGGGAACAAGCTGCACATTATTGAGACGGACCTGGACGAGTTTGTGGAGACCATGACGGAAACACCACCGGCGGACGTGGAGCAGAAGGCAAAGAGGACAGAGAAGGTGGCGGAGAAAGCCAGCTCGGCCGTGCCCCCAGGTACTCGGGCTGAGGGGGTGCTCAGCAGCAGCCCGCTGGCTCCTGCCTGGGTAGGGACAGCAGCACAAACCCCACCACTGGGTTGGCCCAGGAGCAACTGCCCAGCCTGGGGGGGGGGGTGCGAAATTCTCCTCTGCAAAACCCTGTGCGACACCGCTGAGCTGCAGACACCGAGCCCCTGTGCGAACCGGGCTGCTTGTTTCACTTCCAGACTCAGGCCCTAACATTTGAAAGCATTGGCCCACGTGACTTGCCAGCAGTGCTAGTGCCAAAGCCCAGAATGAAACCCAGGAGTCCTGACTCCAAGCAGCCGACTCCACTGTGCAGTTTGCACGTAGCTCTTACATGCAGCAGCCCCCAGCTGCCCTCCTCGTCTCACAAGCCAACTGGAGCCACCTCCACCCCTCACACGTGAATCCCTTGCACCCCAGCTGGAGCTAGGAGTGGGTCTTTCCCCTCTCCTCATCTCCCAGCCCCAGGATGTGGGTGCTCCCTGCCCGCTGGCGAACACTGCTGCTGGGCATTGGGCCAGAAGACATGACAGCAAGGGATCTCTAGTGCCACCCCACTACGAGCACCCCCTTGCAACCCAGCTCTGCTCCCCTGCTGTGTCCTACACCTTACATCCCCCCATGGGCTCTGAGCCCCCGTTTGCTTCCTCACCCTAACGCCACTTCCGTTTTGTCTAAAGTCCCCAAGACCCTTCCAGTGAGAAGGAAGGCCGAGCCCCGAACCGTCAGCCCCGCCAAGGAGGAGCTGCTGTGGGACGGGCTGACCCTGAACAAGTGCATCCTCATCGCCTCCTTCATCGCTCTCCTAAGCATGGGCTTCCAGGTCTTCCAAGGTAAGACACATCTCCCGGTGGGGCAAGGAAGCCTGTGGGGACCAGCCTGGCCACACACGCAGGGTGTCCCGCACTCGGGCTGTGCTGCTGCCTGGGCAGTGGGCACTTGTTAGAGGTCCCAGATCAGGCTGGATTGTCCTGATTTCATAGTAGAAGACCTCCCTGCCCCACAGAGTTAATACCTCTGATGGGCAGCAGGGGAAATAGGAGCAGGGGCTTGTGCGTGGGCACACGACTACTCAGTAACAGCCAGGAAAGAAAGGCAGGTTCCCCTGGCCCCAAGCCAGCACTACCCACCCGGCCACGCTGCTGCGTGGTTTCTCTGGGGATAAGGCCTGGCCTGCAGGCAGGCTCCTGCGGACGGGCTGGGAATGTCCAGCGGGGGCAGGGAGAGAGGAGCTCTGCGCACCCTGAGCTAAAGGCTCTGTGCACTTCTAGGAGGAGGAGGGGCTCAGATCTGGCTCAAAACCCCTCGTTCCTGAAGCAGCCCCGGTTCAGGCGCGCACATGGGGCAGTTCTCCGCGTGCTCCCCGCAGCAATGCGGTCAGGTCTGGGGTGGAGCACCTCACAGCAACGCAGCACAGACTGGGCAGGGAGCAAAACTCAGCTTGAAGTTAAACCAGCCCAGGGCGTGCAGGGGCAGGAGCTCGCTCCACCTCAACGGGAGCCTGAGGTTGACTGTGGACAAGTCCCTGCCTCGTGGTGCCTCAGTGTTCCCACCTGAAAATGGGGACAATGAAGCCAGCCCGCTGGGAAAGTACATTGCAATCTGCTGATGGGAGTCCTGGGAGAGCTGCCGGTTCGGAGTGGGACTGTCAGTGACCACAGGGGGCCGGAAGGAGCTCGCTGCAGCAGCACGTGGGCACCCCCAGCCCATGCAGGGCCCTCAGCCCAGCACTGAGCAGGGGAGAAGAGCGCCCCTACTAAAGTGCCTGTGCCATCTCCTGGCAGCCACAGCTCCCCCCCGCTGTCCCTTCTGCGTCAGCTAGCAGCAGGGGTGCCATCAAGGTGTGGCCTGTGCTGGAGCCTCTGCGTGGTGGGCAGGCAGCTAGGGGTGCCCCAGCCTTTGCCCACGTTGGTCTCCCAGGACCTGGCTCACTTGGTGCCTCCCCTTCCCCAGACGTTGTCGACGAGGACGACGAGGTTCCCGAAGCAGCGCCCAGTCTGTGGGTCCAGCCCGAGAGCAGCATTCCTGAGGATAGCACCAGTGAGCTGGTAAGGCGGGGAGCCGCTGGGGCTCATCCCTTGAGACAAGGCAGCAGGTAGCAGCAGGGAACCGAGGCGGGTGGCTTGTGCCTCCCCGCTCTAGCTGCAGTCTGCCACGTGCACTGGGCTACAGCCTGACACAGAGGCCCTGGCAGCCCCGTCTCCTGGGGTTGTCTCAGCTCCGGCCACCCTGAGAAAATTAGCTAAGCACATCTAGGAGGAGCACACCAAGCCCTGGGGCCTGATGGGAGGGGAGTTTCACCATGGGCAGGACCAGGCCTGGAGCCCTTACCCAGGTCACTCATGGAAATCTGCATGGTGATGCCTGTGGGACAGGGCTGCAGCTTGGGAGCTGCTTTGCTCTGGGGCACCCACATGGGTGCACCACTCTGAGCTCCAACCCCACAAGGTGCCCAAGGCAGAGGAGCTGAGGATGCTTTACGCCTGCCAGGAGGATGCTCCTGATGCTCCCAGAATCAGGCCCGCTCCCAGCAGGTGACGGGCAGTTACAAAGGGACTCCAGGGCCTAGTGCAGCAGGGATGAAGTCTGCCACTGGGAGCTCGCCCCGTTGCTGCAGCAAGGCTGCCGGGGTCAGAGACGCATGCATTATCAAAGAGCCCCAGGGCAGAGCCCCTGCGTCAGGCAGGAGGGAGACAGGGGCCCCTTGGGCTCTGCAGGGCACTGCTGCAACCTGCTGCACACGTGGCATTGCTGTAGCTCTGGATGTGCAGCCAGGGGAGAGGCCCTGGAGCACAGGCTGACCCGGGATCACAGTGAGAGCTGGGGTCTGTCCGTGTCTGCTTCCCCCGCAGGCAGAGCCCTGGTTCCTCAAGAGATGGCTTGGCCGGTCAGAACCAGAGGAAGCAGAAGAAACAGAAGCCACGGCTGAAGAAACCCCAGAGGAACTGCAGGCCAAGGCAGAGCCGAAGAAGGCCAAGGAGAAGCTGAGGGAGAAGCCGAGAGAGAAGCCCGAGAGGAAGGAAGAGAAGCCCAGAGAGAGTCGTGTGGCCCAGGTGGAGCGAGGCAGCAAGAAGGAGATGCAGGGCAAGGCCAGGCCCCCCGAGGCCAAGGCCAGGCCCCCCGAGGCCAAGGCCAGCAGGGTGCCCAAGGAGCCCCAGGAGGACGAGGAGGAGGAGGAGGAGGAGCAGCCTTGGCCCAGGAAGAGGGTGCGTGGGGAGGGCAAGGAGGGCAGGCGGGGGGAGCGGCACAGGAAGGAGGAGGGGAAGGGCCGTGCCCCCCGGCTCGAGACACCGGGCCACGAGGAGCACAAGCGCAACGAGGAGCGGAAGCGGGACTCCAGGCAGCAGCGAGAGCACAAGGGCAGGAAGCCATGGGAGCAGGGCCCGGTCCTGCCCCGCAGGGACAGCAACCACAAGCTCCGGGAAGGCAAGAGGCACAACTGAGCCCCGTGCCCGCGCCTGCCACTGGGCACTGGGGCTGAGCAGCATGAACTCCAGGGGTGTCCAAAAGGCCTGGCTGTCGGCAGCCTGAGCCCACCCCCTGGCCTCTCCTGCGATCCCCGAGACCTGTACCCTTGCTGCCGTCACCGCCGACTAGGGTTCTCCCCCCAAAACAGATAGATGCTGCTTGTTTGCCAGGCTCCCCAGGAGTGGCTGGCTTGTCCCCAGCCTGCTGGCAGAAGGGGGCTTCAGGGTCTGGAGTTAGAGCACTCTGCTCCCAGCTCTGCCTCCGACTCTGGGCAAGTCCTGTCACTGCTTTGTGCCTGTTTCCCCATCTGTCCTGGGGGTGAGATGCTCGGGGATCTGAGCCAAGTTAGCACTAAGTTCCTGCTGTGGGGACAGCAGCTTGGTGCTGTAGGATGGGCCTCTGTGCACCTTTGAGCCCCCCTGGATAAGACACAGTCGTGACATGGCATGAAAGAGAGCAAGGCTGTCCGTAGCTAGGAAGGGCTGGTGAAAGCCAGGCGGGCAGGTACTCCCCAGCCTGAAAGAGCACCCCCTTCCCTCTCCCCCCCACCAAATCCCCTTGCATGGTAGTCAAATTCATAGAAACCAAATGAAAGTGCAATACTTTTTCACTGCTTTACTACAATGGAGAATGCAGCTCAGTCACAGGCAGCAGTCGCGGGAACAGGAACGAGTGCATCCGGCCTCAGCCCACTGGGTGGAAATGTCCTTTTTAAAGACACATTAAATGGAGCGGTTGGGAAACCCTGCAGCATGCACTTGCCTCCTGCTTTCTTGGTGCATTGGGGGAGATCTTGGCAGGGGAGGGGATCCACCCTCCAACAGCATTTTGGTCACCTGGGAGCTTCCCAAAAAGGCAGGCAGCTGCCTGGCTGCTGCTGAACTGGGAGCTCTGCTCTCGGAGCAGCTGGCTCAGGGGTGGCCGAAACAACGTGACTGTGCAACGGCCACTGTAGTTATGAGCCACAGAGGCCAGAGCAAGGGCACCGGGGGCGGCACTTGGAAGAATGAATGTAGGAAAAAGCCTGTTCAGCTCCTTCCTCCCCTTGCATTCACACAGAGGTCACAAGAACAGGCCCCATCATTGGGCACAGCTGGAAGATCGTCAAGGTCCCCTCTGGCCCTGACTGTTGCATTTAGCTGGAGGGCAGCTCTGCTTAGCTGGGCCCAGCTCCCACAGCCCTGGGGTGGGTGGCTCAGGATTTGTAACCTGTTGGTCTCCTCTCTGTCCTGGCCTGTCACAACCTCCAGCAAGGCCGGCCGCCTGCAATACCATCCCACGTGGCTGAGACACCGATGCCAGGGTGTAGCTTTCCCCCCGCCCCGCTCCCCCTGAGCTCTAAGCAAGTAAAGCTATGGATAATTGAGGCAGCAGGGCCAGGTAGGGTGACCACCTGTCCCTAATTGGGCAGGACAGTCCCAGAATGGGAACATCAAGTCCCGGGTTGCATGACTCCGGGACAGCATTTGTCCTGGATTTGCAGCCATGCAAGGATGGGGAAGTGGCAGGTTTCCCCTTGCAGGCTGGCAGCGATCCGGCCTACAAGGGGCTGCCAGGAGCACGATGCAGGGAGTGCCACATGCATACGTGCACCCGCGCACATGCACGTGGCTGGGAATACAGCCGGGAAGTTTGGAGAGCAGTTCCCTGTTGGTACTATGGGAGGAGGGGTCGGAGTAGGGGCAGATTGAGGCCCCCCCCAGTGACGGAGGGGGTGAGGCTGGGGCCACTGCCCAGCCAAGGTGGGGCATGGGGCAGGGAGTGGGACAGACCTATGGGCGGCTTGTTCAGGGGGCATGGGGTGGCTCTC